TTATTTAGTAATGTATTGTTTAGCCTCCATGTGTTTGTGTTTTTTTCTTTTTTTTCCCTGTAATTGATTTCTAATCTCATAGCGTTGTGGTCAGAAAAGATGCTTGATATGATTTCAATTTTCTTAAATTTAACTGATGCTTTATTAGTGACCCAAGATGTGATCTATCCTGGAGAATGTTCTGTGTGCACTTGAGAAGAAAGTGTAATCTGCTGGTTTTGGATTGAATGTACTACAAATATCAATTAAATCTATCTGGTCTATTGGGTCATTTAGAGCTTGTGTTTCCTTATTAATTTTCTGTTTGGATGATCTGTCCATTGGTGTAGGTGAGGTGTTAAGGTCCCCCACTATTATTGTGTTACTGTCGATTTCCTCTTTTATCGCTGTTAGCAGTTGCCTTATGTATTGAGGTGCTCCTATGTTGGATGCATATATATTTATAATTGTTATATTTTCTTCCTGGATTGATCCCTTGATCATTATGTAGTGTCTTCCCTTGTCTCTTGTAACATTCTTTATTTTAAAGTCTATTTTATCTGATATGAGTATTGCTACTCCAGCTTTCTTTTGATTTCCATTTGCATGGAATATCTTTTTCCATCCACTCACTTTCAGTCTGTATGTGTCCCTAGGTATGAAGTGGGTCTCTTGTAGACAGCATATATATGGGTCTTGTTTTTGTATCCATTCAGCGAGCCGGTGTCTTTTGGTTGGAGCATTTAATCCATTCATGTTTAAGGTGATTACTAATATGTATGTTCCTATTACCATTTTCTTAATTGTTATGGGTTTGTTTTTGTAGGTCCTTTTCTTCTCTTGTGTTTCCCACTTAGAGAAGTTTCTTTAGCATTTGTTGTAGAGCTGGTTTGGTGGTGCTGAATTCTCTTAGCTTTTGCTTGTCTGTAAAGCTTTTGATTTCTCCAGCGAATCTGAATGAGATCCTTGCTGGGTAGAGTAATCTTGGTTGTAGTTTCTTCCCTTTCATCACTTCAAGTATATCATGCCACTCCTTCTGGCTTGTAGAGTTTCTGCTGAGAAATCAGCTGTTAACCTTATGGGAGTTCCCTTGTATGTTGTTGTTTTTCCCTTGCTGCTTTCAATAATTTTTCTTTGCCTTTAATTTTTGCCAATTTGATTACTATGTGTCTCGCATGTTTATCCTTGGGTTTATCCTGTATGGGACTCTCTGTGCTTCCTGGACTTGGGTGGCTATTTCCTTTCCCATGTTATGGACGTTTATGACTATAATCTCTTCAAATATTTTCTCGGGTCCTTTCTCTCTCTCTTCTCCTTCTGGGACCCCTGTAATATGAATGTTGTTGCATTTAATATTGTCCGAGAGGTCTCTTAGGCTGTCTTCATTTCTTCTTTTTCTTCTTCTTCTTTTTTTTTTTGCACAGGTCTCTCACCGTCGCGGCCTCTCCCGCTGCAGAGCACAGGTTCCAGATGTGCAGGCTCAGCAGCCGTGGCCCATGGGCCCAGCTGCTCCACGGCATGTTGGATCTTCCCAGACTGGGGCACGAACCCACATCCCCTGCATTGGTAGGCGGATTCCCAACCACTGCACCACCAGGGAAGCCCTAGCTTCATTTATTTTCATTCTTTATTCTTTTCCGCGGCAGTGAGTTCCACCATTCTGTCTTCCAGGTCACTTATCCATTCTTCTGCCTCAGTTATTCTGCTATTGATTCCTTCTAGTGTAATCTTCATTTCAGTTATTGTATTGTTCATCTCTGTTTGTTTGTTCTTTAATTCTTCTAGGTCTTTGTTAAACATTTCTTGCATTTTCTCAATCTTTGCCTCCATTCTTTTTCCGAGGTCCTGGATCATCTTCACTATTATTATTCTGAATTCTTTTTCTGGAAGGTTGCCTATCTCCACTTTATTTAGTTGTTTTTCTGGGGTTTTATCTTGTTCCTTCATCTGGTACATAGCCCTCTGCCTTTCCATCTTGTGTATCGTTCTGTGAATGTGGTTTTTGTTCCACAGGCTGCAGGACTGTAGTCCTTCTTGCTTCTGCTTTCTGCCCTCTGGTGGATGAGGCTATCTAAGAGGTTTGTGCAAGTTTCCTGATGGGAGGGACTGGTGGTGGGTAGAGCTGGCTGTTGCTCTGGTGGGCAGAGCTCAGTAAAACTTTAATCTGCTTGTCTGCTGATGGGTGGAGCTAGGTTCCCTCCCTGTTGGTTGTTTGGTCTGAGGTGACCCAACACTGTAGCCTACATGGCTCTTTGGTGGGGCTAATAGTGGACTCTGGGAGGGCTCACGCCAAGGAGTGCTTCCCAGAACTTCTGCTGCCGGTGTCCTTGTCCTCACAGTGAGGCACAGCCACCCCCCACCTCTGCAGGAGACCCTCCAACACTAGCAGGTAGGTCTGGTTCAGTCTCCTATGGGGTCACTGCTCCTTCCCCTGAGTTCCGATGCGCACACTACTTTGTGTGTGCCCTCCAAGAGTGGAGTCTCTGTTTCCCCTGGTCCTGTCCGAGTCCTGCAATCAAATCCCACTAGCCTTCAAAGTCTGATTCTCTAGGAATTCCTCCCCCCATTCCTGGACCCCCATGTTCGGAAGCCTGATGTGGGGCTCAGAACCTTCACTCTAGTGGATGGACTTCTGTGGTATAACTGTTCTCCAGATTGTAAGTCCCCCACCCAGCAGTTATGGGATTTGATTTTATTGTGATTGCGCCCCTCCTACAGTCTCATTGTGGCTTCTCCTTTGTCTTTGGATGTGAGGTTTCTTTTTTGGTGAGTTCCAGTGTGTTCCTGTTGATGATTGTTCAGCAGTTTTTTCTGATTCTGGTGTTCTCGAAAGAGGGAGTGAGAGCATATCCTTCTGCTGCACCATCTTAAACCAATCTCCTATTCAACAAGTTAACCATTAAGATATAGTCCAATCATTCTGCAAATAAAAACCTGTTAAACAAAGTTAAATGCAAATTAATCAATGTCCATACCGAAATTCATCATTGACTCTTTCTTCCCGAAGTCCAATCCACCAGTTTACACCATACTTTGATAGCTATTTAAAAAAGAGAGAGAGAATGTCAGCATTTATCCTACTTTTTTTCCCTTTTCACTATTAAGATTAATGGGGTCACTGTCAATAGCTTTCTATTCTTCAGTATTTTACCCAATTATCTAAAGAAGAGTACACTAAGGCCTAGCATCTTGAGAAGACCTGAAACTTCATTATTCTAAACTACTCCCTCCTCATTATGTAAGAAAATTGGAATCAAATATTGAAAATTATTTTGATTTCATACAACATGCCATAACTTTGTTACAATGTTTCCTATATATATTTAAAAGTAAATTCTCTAACTCTCATAAAAGGAATTTAAAAAGTAATATTGTAAAGTAAAATAGAATGTGGATTCCTTTTTTGACTAAAAATTTAGTGTTTTATGCCCTCAGTGATTTATAGAAGTTTACTATACATGCCACCTACTTGAAAAACAATTCGAGGCACAAAGATCTCAATAGTAAAAATAATTTGTATTTTAGGCACTAGTCTGATTGGTAAGTTTTTAAACTAAGTATTAGCACCCTCCCCATTCAGATGGAAACTGCATTATAGGACAAAATAATACTACAGTATTTCCAGTGTTTGACAACTAGAAAATTATCCTTTATATATTTTATGAATTTACACCATTATTTATTACATAGATCCCAGTACAATAAAGAATAAACTTGAAACACCATAGGCATGCACATGCATATGCACATTAGAGCAGATGTAATACTGGACTTATGACCCAGGAAATTGAAATTCCTTCTTTAACTATAAAAGAAGAACAGGCATTAAGGATTTCTCTAAGGTCTTTAAATCAATATTCTTTATTGAGTGTGTGCTGTGTGTGAAATGTAACTTAATTTTTTATGCTAAAATCCTGTTAATTTGAAGGCATTGTACACTTAAATTTACACTTTCATTTCTTCTGTAAAGACTTGGGAATGCATTTTAAGATATATAAATATTTTTTCATGTGAATTTCTGGTCATCATACAACAGAACCTAATAGCTCTCTAACATTCTAATTTATACACAGGTATTTTTACTCCTTAATCAGTGTGGCTGTCTGCCATATCAGCAACTTGAAAATAATGCAAGATGGAGCAACTATAATTTTGGATCCCTGAGTTGTTGTTTCACGGACGTGTTCTTACATGCTGAATTTAGACTCCTATTGTCAGATTTTGGAATGGGTCCATGGAGACTGGCTTTGAAATCAGTGGAAGAACCACAACAATTTCATTCAATCTAAAGAGGTCTTATGTGCAACAGGAGTGGAAATCATGGCCCAATTGTTCACTGCCCCAATTAAGGACCTCTAAAGAGGAAGTATAACTACTGCATCTTAAGTGGCATATTTATTACTACCTCGATTATAGCACGGTAATCCTCCACAGGGCACATCACAACCTGTTGTGATATGGAACAGAAATTCATAGGACAAGATAGAGACACCCAAAGTGAAAAATCCAATGTGAAAAATAGATGTTGTAAATTTCAGTTTAGGTATGAAACCGCAACAATAGAAGACATTAGTATTCTTTTGTATAAAAAATGTGATACAACCGTGTACCTCATAGTATCAATTATGTTTTGTTACAGAAAAGCAGTCATTATAGATAGCATCATATGGAAGAACACACCAAAAAGAAATAACCCACAGCAATAGCCAATATATTAATCTACTAAGCAGTATAAGGAAGAACAACCTGTCATCTCTTAAAATGTTTCCATAAAAATAGCAAAACCAAGTTATTTTAAGGATTTAAAACACCAGATTTTTGAGGATGACTAATAGATTTGATATATTTTTGTTAGAAATATTTTGAAATAAAATTTTAAAAGTAAGAGTAAATTGCAATTTTGAAATGCAAATATTGTACAACACAGCATAAAAATGTTAGTTCATGTCAAACAACGCCTAAAGTGCTCATTTTTTTTAACTTTTTTGGCATTAATCTGACCAACAAGATGGCTCAAAAAACTAGTACTCAAAAATTCCCTCGCATCATGCCTTGTGGTCTTCTGTTAGTCAAAGAGGAAATTCTGACTCATCATTTTTCCAAGCTGGAAATATTCTGTTAAAAAAATTCTGCTTCAGATTTTAAAAAATGCATCCAGCTTTCTTTTTCAATAATTAGTTCTTCTACTCCCCAACTGAATGTTGTCTTTGTCTTTCACATTTCTGAGTTACTACTCTTCTTAGAGGAGCTATACAATACATATGTAACTTTAAAAATATTTAATTATTTAATTCTTATTCTTCCTGTAACTATAGGATGGGCATGCCACAAGAATGAGTGGTATGACCTCTACATGTTTAGTTCCTCATCCAGAACTTCTGGACTGACTCATTCCAGCCAGACGTTCTTAGACATGGGATTTCTTAGTTAAGAAATGTAAATGGTCACCGTAAATACCACCGCTACCACCAACAAACATTGCCTAACTGCTATAAACTAAGCAGGAGGAAAAACTGCTTTCGAAATGTACAGCATTCTTTTTTCTAAATCGATACCCTTCCCATTTGGCTTTCTTGCTCCATTCTTGGTCTGTATATTCCCTATGATGATATTCTTCTGTGTTAGATCAGTCAGCCACTCACCCATAATACTGACAGGGCATTCTTTATTAATATGGTCATAGGTTTGGTAATAATGTTGCCATATAAGACACTACAAGGTTTGTCTGGTTTGAGATCACTAGATCTAGTCCTCAACTAGATCATGGCAATGGCTATGCCTTTTCAAATGTCTAAGCCTGTGGGGTTTTACTCTTCCCTTCAATGGGAGGCATTAACTCTGCCATTTCCACTGACTTCCCAACAACCAAAGACTGGGAGAGTGAATTAAGGGAAAGGTTAAGAGAGAAGACCTGCAGAGGTTCCTAAAAGAGCTAAGATCTGCTGGAACGATCAAAGAAGCCCTTTACTGTGCATATCTGAGACATAGCTGACAGCCATCTTTTGGGGAGGGATTTTATTTTATTTTATTTATTAATTTTAAAAAGTTGAGGTATAGTTGTTTTACAATATTATATTAGTTTCAGCTATACAACATAGTGATTCAAAACTTTTATAGATTATACCCCATTTAAAGTTATTATAAAGTAATGGCTATATTTCCCTATGCTGTACAGTATATCCTTGTAGCTTATTTATTTTATACATAGTAGGTTATATCTCTTAATCCTCTACCCCTATCTTGTCCTCCTTTTCTCTCCCCACTGATAACCACTAGTTTGTTTTCTGTATCAGTGAGTTTGTTTCTGTTCCGTTATATTAATCATTTGTTTTGTTTTTTAGCTTCCACATATAAGTGATAACGTACAGTATTTATCTTTCTCTGTCTGACATTTCACGAAGCATGATACCCTCTAGGTCCATATACGTGTTGCAAATGGCAAAATTTCATTCTTTTTTATGACTGATATTCCATTGTATATATGTGCCACATCTTCTTTATCCATTCCTCTGTTGATGGGCATTTAGGTTGCTTCCATGACCTGGCTATTGTAAATAGTGCTGCTATGAACATTGGGGTGCATGTATCTTTTCGAATTAGTGTTTTCATTTGTCTTTCAGATATATACCCAGGAGTGGAATTGCTGGATTTAGTTCTTTGAGGAACCTCCATACTATTTTCTGTAGAGGTTGCACCAACTTACATTCCCACCAACAATGAGCAAGGGTTTCCTTTTTTTGGATGGATTTTAGAACTAGCATTTTAATGTAATGAATATGCTGTTCTGCTGCCTGCAGCCATTTTTAAAAATGACCTTGTAAGTCAGATGACCTGAGATCACTTCCAAATTCCACTACTTAGCTGCTGTGTAACAAAGTTCCTTCACCTCTTTGGAGTCTTAGCTTCTTCATCTGTAAATTATGCTGACGATAGAACTTCCCACAGAGAGTTCTTAGAAAGATTAAATGCCATTAAATGTTAGTACTTAGCCGTGCTTGACACTGTTACAGTAAGTATTGGCCAAATATCAGCTCCTCTCGGGACGTGCACTTTGCATGTCCATGGATTCGTTTTTAGCCATTCACATGATCTCTTGTTATTGCCGCCAGGGGTGAGGAGTCTGCTGTCTAGCTAAAGAAACAAATGTATTTTCCGAGGTCATGATATGTAATTTGTTAATACTTAATATTACAGTTTTGGCTTGAGTGTTCCATTTGTAGGAGATGAAGAGAAGTAAAACAATGCATGAACCAATAATACTGGGGAACATCCAGTTCTCATGGTTGGTCTGCCACTGAGTCTCTGTAAGGCCATGCAGTTGTCACCTAACTCCTCTGGTTCTTGACTTTTCCATCAAAATGCAGTAGTAGTCCCAACCTGCATGCACTTCACAGGCTGTATGTGTATCAAACAGAATTATAGAAACAGGAAAGCCCAATGAGGTGTGAGGGGAGACATTCTCTTACAAGTCAAGGATGCTTTAATCCAGAGCTTCATTTTAACAGTCAACTTACAAGCATAGGAAAAGATGATAGAGCAACCAAGGATTCCTGCAGAGCATGAACTAATGTTAAATTATGGGAAAAGAAAAAAGGCTCTTTCTTATCTTCAACAATTTCCTAGGGAAAATTGGGAATGAGGTTTTTCCTCCCTGGTGCCCCCTTGGTAATTTGTACATACTGCTCCCTTTTCCCTTATCACATCATGTTATTTCCAGCTTTTTAAAGACACTGACTGTATTTTATTTTTGTGTCCTTGACAAATACCACAATGTCTGAGACATACCTAATGCTCAATAAATGCTTGCTGAAGAAATACACTGAAAACCAACACTATTCCTTGGCAGTCTATTCATTGTTGAATGGATTTTGCACGCTGCTTTCTAACAAGCCTAGCTTCTCAAAGGATTTCTCTATCTGAAGTTGAAATGGAGAACCACTCCTTACCATTTTCTGCATAGAGTCTAAAAAAATATTGTACTCTTATAAGTCAAATTTGAAACATTAAAACAGCCATGCACCTCCCAGTACTCTTTGTCGCTCATTTGTGCTTTATTTTCCTCCATGGCATTTATCCATTTATCTTTTTCTAAAATATTATGTAATTCTATTTATTTATATTGATTACAGTCTTCCTTCCCAGACTAGACTAAAAACTCCAGGTGGGCAGGAATTTTGGTCTATTTTAATCACTGATAGAGCCTCAGCCCCTAGAAGAGTAGACTCAATAAATAGGCATTGAATGATGGAATGAACCTCACAAAAACAATAAAATGCTATTTTCTCATCCTTTGTTGCTAAAAAAGCATGAGGAGAAGTGAAATGACTGACCAGCATCGTAAACCTGTGTTTCCATTATTTGCTCTAAATCTCTGTGACAGGAAGAAAAACAGTTCTTAAAAATCTAAGACTTTTAATGAAACAGATAAATGTCTGAAGTAATATAAAAACAAAATCCCTCAAGGACAGAAGAAGGAGTTAAGCTCTGAGTTTCTCATATTTAATCATATTTAAGTACCGCTCTTATTTTGCCGTGGATGAATTCTTGTTCACGTTCAGAATGAATAGTGAGAATATCACTGCGCAGCCAGCCACAGACAAACTCAAAGGAGGACCATTCCGTGGCAGAGGTATGAAAAAGGTACTCTGCATCCTGATAAAAGAGCCAGGGTGCATCTGAAAGAAAAATAAGCAACACAGGTGAGGCAACAATTATTGAGCAATGTAATACAGACTTAAACAGGGTATACTATGATTGACCCCAAATGTGTAACTTGGTCACTCAGCATTAAGAAAATGTGTGTGTATACACCCACTCCCACACATAAATAAGTATACAATTTACTTATTTTCCTTGGTCTATTTCATATAAGAAACATTCACGTATATTCAAAAGTCTGGGATAGATACATATTGTTAAATCATGTGTCATGAAAATGGAGTTAAGCTATGATATGTCTTCAGTAATATTTAGTGACATTAGTTTGATTATTTATTAATGATGGATTTGTTAATTTGAAAAAATTAGTTCTCAATTGACACAAGAAAAGAGAAACTCGATTGGAGCTACGTAATAACACAGTAATGCTACAAAACAGCACAGAATTAGAAATTCAAGAACTGCCAGGATAGTTCTTACCATACTGGTACCAGGGTGGAATCTTGGGTCTCACATCTGCAGAGTGAAAGCAAACAGGTTTGAGTGAACTTTACTTACAGGTGTACTATCTCTGAATTACTTCAGGTCTAAACACAATATTTTGGACTTTGCTTTTTAAAAGATCATTTAAGAACCAGGTGTTGTTTGGAAAGTGGTAAGTTCTCATACTTGAAGAGGAAGCTCAAGAGAGACCTCTGGTTAAAGAGAAAAGGATGTGAATACTTGTTGAGAGCCTACTGTGTGTCACACACTGTGCCAGGTGCTTTCACTTACTCATTTGATAAGTAGTTTTGTTTGCTTGTAATGTCACAGTGACACTTCTTCCAGGTTGTACTTGCAAAATACAGTATTCCACAACATAGGCAGTTATTTTCATTTCCTACTAAGTTAGCGTACTGCACTGGTGTCATCTTTTCTCATTCCCCCATGATACATTGTTTGCTAAAAGAGTACAATTTGGTTCATCACGAAGGCTGTTGGTACTGTGCTCCAGGGTGCTTAAATTTTAGACCTCTGTAACTGTTCACTTGGGAAAATGCTATAGATTATCAGAAAGCAAACAAATAGTAAAGATCTTATTAATATTTTTACCTCTTGGAATTTTGCATATCCATTCACGTTTGGAACCACAGTATGAGGGTAGCAACGTTTTATTCGCCTTATAAACAGCACAGTTTCTTGCATCTTCTCCAAAATAATTATTGTCTAAAAATGAAGAGACAACCTGCAGCAGATGAAGTTCATTATTCCTTAATAATGATCCCCCGCAAAAAGTTTCAAAAGATCAGAAAGGCATCCCTGTAAATAAATCACAATAGACTTCTGGAGGAAGTAGGTTATGATGCCAGTTAAAGGTGGTTCCACATTTGTGAAAAGCGAGCTAATCAAAGCTTTATCATTTTTTTCCTGAAGATGCCTTTTTTTCCCCCTTTCTTTAAGAGGCATTCTACTCTTTTCTCCAGAAGGAACAAGTCAGATGAACTTGCACTCTTTTCTCACTGGCAAGATTAGGCTAGCCCTGGGATCCTGGGTAAACTGTTTAGAGGCTCAAGGATCCTTCAGAATCGAGTCTCACCTTTGATGTAGATTCTTTTGCATAAATACTAGGCTTTTAGTCTCTAATCACTGACTTCTAAGTCAACCCTAGCTTTAATCAGGAAACTATCCAATGTTTTCCAGGAATGATCACGTAACGGGGTATTGACTAGAGATTCAACCTTCTCAATGATTTGATGACTACTTGAGAGAAGAGTGGATGGACCATGAGTAAAACTGAGGTACAAAATTTGAAAAAAAGAGGGTTTTGAAACCATTTATACTCCTCAAACACCTACACGGTCATGCAACAATTCATCTAACTTAAATATATATAAGCTCAGATTCAGAGAATGGCATGAGTTTGATATTTATTTTGTCCAGAGGGAAGTGGCAAGGGACTCAGTCCACTGCTTCATCGCTTAATCTCATTGATTCTGAACCAAATTGTCTATTCCTGTCCTATTACTGATGAGTTTTTGTTTGTTTGTGTGTTTTACTAAAATGCATTCTCAACCTCTATGTACCACATTTTATTCTCCAAGTGCCGTATTAATGTTAACCACCCAACTGTGCCATGTGGTGGCTGCCATTTATGGGGTAGGTCCACCCCGCTATGCCCCTTCCACTCTCTGGGCCTTGATTTCTTCATCAGCAAAACAGTTGGGTGGGGCTGGGTGATCTCTAAGATCTCTTCCTGTTCTCTGGTCCTGATGCCCTTTTCAAAGAAGCAGTACTGGGGTAGAATCGTTATTTTTTTAAACTAGCACGCTCTTACTATTTTTGTTCCCACTATAAGCATGTAGCTTTTCCACAAACCCCTTCCTTGCTACAGATTTGAACACCATCTACGTAGCAGGCCTAGAGATAGATCCCTTTTCTCTATTGATCTTACTATTTCAAAGTTTGGCTGCCGCTGTTTTGCCAACGAGGAGACATTATGATATTGTGGCTTTGGAGGCAGACAACCTGTGTACAAGTACTGTCTCTCATGTATTATTTTAGGCAAACTCTTTAATCATTTTAATACCCACTGTATTGAATCACCCTAAGGATGAAATGAGATCACGCAGGAGTGCACTCAGCATCGTAAACCTGCGTTTCCATAATTGTGGAATTCCATAATTCCACAATTATGTGTTCTGAGCACATAATTAGGGCTCAGTGAACAGGAGCTGCATTAAATGCTCACTGCAGGCTGTTGCTAACCCCAGTTCACAGGTGAAACTGAATAACTTGATTTTGCATGTGCCTTCAGATGGATCTCATTTTAATCTGGGATACTGCTACTGTTTTTTTCCCTATTATGAGGAAAATCTGAGACATCCTCATTGTACCTGAAAAAAAAAAACCCCAAAACGTAATTGTGAGTTCCCTCTTTCCTTCATAGAGGTTTTTTTACACGTGAGGCTGAATGAAAAGCAAGTCTTTTTTTTCCCTTCCAAATAACTTCATTTGTCTGGGAAGGAGGAGCTGTTTCTAAGGCTGGCATTTCTGTTCTTTTAGAGTGAGAGAAACTGAAAATGTTTCTTTTCACTGTGACACAGACAAGGGTCCCACACTCACACAATCAGATGCTATGCAGCAGAGGTGTGTGGGGGTGGGGGTGCAAAGGAAGCCTGGTATTATTTTAGAGAACAGTTGCTTCTCTGCTGGAGATTCTTCACATGGGAGATGGTTTGGGGGGCTTTTTCAGAGAATTTGATTCCTTTTTGGGATGAGATCTTATAGCTGGCTTTAGAACTATCTGGCTAGCAAAGGTTTCTCAAGACCTTGCTGAAATAACTCTTTTGGTACCAAGGTCTGGTGCAGTTTTTGATTTAGGTTTGGGTCATGGGGAAGATGGTCATTCTTTCCAGGTTCTCTTGGTTGGTTTACCAAGTGGTTCCAGGGCCACCTGCTTTGAATTCATTTTCTTTTCTCTAGCTTGGAAAGACTTACAGGAGTTCCATCAGACCACTCCCAAGAGCCAGCATTCAGTGGGTTTCTTTTGTTAAATCCAATCCAGAACTGCCTTTCTTCTGTCCTATGAAGAGAGGAAACAAAAACTTGGATCTTCCCATTGAATTCACAACATTATGTAAAATGTTCAAGAAATATTTTAAAGTATTTAGTTGTGTAGGGAACAGCTGATGCTACTGGCAAAACTGGTCAAGTCAGCAAGCATTTATTGAACATTTCCTGTAAGCAAAACCTGAGCTATAAAATGAACTGAGAGAAGATTAATCTCACTTCCCATTTCTCTTGGTTTGTACGGTGTGCTCATTGGTGATGGGCAGTTGGGGGAACAGTCAGCCCGTATTGAGAACATGGCTTTCGCATGTTCATTAGGAATGGCAATATCTTTCAGTTAAGACAAGAACACATGAAAGCAAGTTGGTAAGAACTTTTGGAACATCTTTTCCCTAGAGGACTATTTATTTGCTAATTTACTATACTATTTATACTACTTTACTCTTTTAATTTGTTGTTGTTCTTTTGTCAAATGTTCATGTATTCTCTGAAGGTTAATCACCACCACCCCATTTAATAAAAGGTACAAAGCAGATTTGTTTTTTTGGTTTTTTTTAAATGTCCCAATGTAAATAATTCCACAGCAAACCAGTCTGAGGCACGGTAGATTAACTTCAGCCGTCACCACTGGTTAGACTTGGTGAGAAGCCCCACAGAGAACCATCTTCCCTCCTATTAGGCTGAGGACGAATGCGTCAAACCAGAGAGCACTCAATAAATCAAGCAATAAAGCCTAATTATACAACGAATCATCTGACTAAGATAATTTTCTGAGAATAATTTTGAAGAATTAAAGATTTAAAAGATCCAGAAGTCATGACAGATGCTTTATTTTCCTTAGTGCACAGAAGAAAGCCTGTTCTGAAGCAAGCCTGTTCTGAAGCATCCCCTTCTCAGATATTTGAGCTCCTTTGCCTGAACAATACAAATGAAAGTAAAATGTGACTTAGAAAAGGTCAGAATCACTGAGGTGCATTGGTCACTGCCATGCTAATAACTTACATTTAAGGTTGTGGGAAGGTGAGAATGCTGCCTTAAGGTTAAACCAGGCATATTAATCTTAATGGCCAGGCTGAAAACTCACGTCACTCTCCCTGCCTTGAGAGCTTTTTATTCCTTTCCTCATTGAATTCAGAATTTTACATTTTTCCTGCTGTATATTGGCTCCTAAACGATGAACTGGTATTTATTTTCTCTTCATCATTTTCCTAAAAATTATGTAACTTTAATTAATATAATATAATATAATATGAATATAATAAAATAGAAAAGCAGCGCCATAAGAAGGAGAAGAAGCATGTATGCTAACTATGAGAATTGGTTTATTTGGTATAACTAAGCATGAGATTTGACTGAATTCCCTGGCAGTCTGGACAAAAAGTAAAACATACGTTATATAGCTTTCGTGATTAAGTGCTGAAGATCAATAATTTGATAGACACTTGACACTAAATTCACTAAATTCTTGACATTCCAAGTGTGAGAATTTATATGAATACAAGTGTTATAATGAAATTTGATGTTACAGCAAACTTGGAAGCAGTTTTCATGTGTTTCATATAGCAAACCTCACAATATGCAAGTATGAAAGGATGTTTTGCAAGGGGCTGAAGTCACGAAGCCAAGTTACAACTTAGAACAGTGGAGATGATCACATCTCCCTTGGATCTGAGGCCCCACACCAGACTAGCAAACCAATCAACAAGGAAGCTTCTTGAACTTTTCTTCAGCCTCGGAGAATCTGACTCAGCGGCTCTGGCGTGAGACCAGAGGGCACTGTGTGAAAAAGTCTCCCAAGTGAGTGTGAGAATCAGCCAGATTTGGGAAGCATGGTCTCAGGCCAGCACTTCCTGCAGGGACTAGCAGTTCCATGGGATGTTGGTAAGTGGTCTCAAAAAAAAAAAAAAGGGTTTTGCAGTCAAAGAAATTGCTTCCTTCTAGAAGCCTTTACAATGCTAAAGTATATGGCAAATTTCCAAGATCGTGCCTTGTTTTGCAAACATATTTGACCACAAAATCACCCTATTTCCCCTGGAGTACTTCATGAGACACACACTGGGAGATATTCTCACCTTTGAGGTCATTTTTGTAGATGCTGGAGATGAATAATTTGATAGATGTTACATATTAACCTTCTTAGGGGAGGGTCCTAAAGGAAACTTGTGGGGAAGGCCAGGATTTTCCTCAAAAAGTAGTTCTGGATTTTCTCTGAGATTCAGGTAAGTGTTTCATTGAGACTTCAGATTTCCAGAGCTTGGAACAGAGTACCTGATATTATATTTGTGTTACATATATATGGAGGCATGCCCCCGCCCCCAGACCACGACATCCTCAGGGGCAGGATTTTGTCTGTCATATCTATTGCATTCTCCAGCCACCCATGCATATAATAGGGTCCCTTCCATAGAAGATATTCTCAAAATACATGCTAACCGACAAGAACATTCTAGAGACAGAGGCCAAGGGATGAGAAGACTTGCTAAAAGAGAACATGATGGCTATTTTCAAATATTTGAAAATAGAGTAGACTTGATCTGGCTTACTAGAAAGTTGATCTTTGAAACTAGCCTCCAACGATGGAATGGGTTTTATCCCAAGTAAAGAGCACTTTGAAACTGAAAGGAATTATGTAGACCAGTGGTCCCCAGCATTTTTGCACCAGCGGTTGGTTTCGTGGAAGACAATTTTTCCACTGCCGGGGGTGGGGGGATTGGAGGGACGGTTCAGGCGGTAATGCCAGCAATGGGGAGCGGCAGGTGAAGCTTAGCTCGCTCTTCCGCTCACTTCCTGCTGTGTGGCCCAGTTCCTAATACACTGCGGACCGGTATTGGTCTGCAGCCCGGAGGTTGGGGACCCCTGATGTAGACAGTAGATGACCACGGGAATGTAAGTAGAAGAAATTCCCGTATTGGGTCAGAGGTAGCACAAGACCTCCTGTGTTTCTTCAAATTTAAATTTGATTGATTTTCTAACTTCGTTAAATTCAAGATTCTGTAAACTTGCAAAGCGGATGCAGACAAGTGAATGCCTGTTTCCTCAGAGGTAAAATTAGAAGGTTGGATTGGAATTTTTTTAAAAAATTAGTGGGACTTTCTTTTTTTCAAACCAAATCTCACATGGACTCCTGTTATATACAAAACAACTAGAAGTGGAGTTGGCTGGACCTGCTGAGTCAGTGAGCAAGGAACCAGGAGCTCTGCCCACTTGGCCTCTCCTGCTCTGGAGGCTCAGGACCCTCCGGACCCTCAGACAGCACTTTGAAAACCACTGGGCTAGATAATTTCTGAACTTGGCAGAAAAGCTCTAAAATTCTGATTTGAGGTACACAGAAAAGATTTCAAATATCAAAACAATCGTCACTTTGTTCTTTGTTTTATGGAATGAGTAGTTGGTGCAATATAAATATAAAACTGTAAGTATGTATTTTTCTTTCACAACTAGTGTTTAGTTGGTTTTAGACTTAAATACTTGAGATTTTGAATATCCCAAATACCCCCAATATTTGGGATACTCATGCCTAAGAAGCCATTACTTGGAGACACAATATGCGACTGAAATTTTTCAAAATTAACAAGTATTTACCGATTAAATTTTGAATGTAAAAGCTCATTCACAAAATTCTCTTCCTCGATATGGGCAAAGCTTGCAAGATGAGCTCCAAATTCTTCACAAAATTCTTCAGCTTCTCTCCATGTTCTTTTCGTCAGAACTTTTTCACTATGAAATACCTGTGTAGTAAAAGGAAAAAAAGGTTGACACGGTCATGAATAAGGTGAGGCTGTTTAATTCTGGACAAGAAGATGACGATAATATAATTGTTGTCATTATTCTACTTTAAAAGCTTGACCGAGTAGGGAGAAATAACATTTATTGAACTAAAGGGTGTCTAGTTGTTGTAATACCATTATCTCATTTGATTCTCATGACAAAGTCATGCGGAGGATATGATAGGCTCAGTTTAACAGATGAGGACTCTTTTCCTCCTTGAGAACTCTTTTTTTTCCCCCTCCTAAATTTCCTGTGACTGGGATATGCTTGTCCCTTAATAAAATGTTTGTCAAGAGATGAGGACAGTCAGGATAAGAGAGGTTACAAATTTCAGGTCACACAGCCACAAACTAGCAGAGCTAGGATTAGACCTAGTATTCCATAGCTGAATGAATCTGGCTAACCCAGGCAAAGAAATGAGAAATGAGACCTGGGACCTAGGGCGGGTATATTTCTAGGGTCTTTGGGTCTTAGCTGTGACTAAATTCTTTCCTGTTTCTCAGCTGTCCTCACAGTAGCAGGAAGAAGTCAGTCAAATGGTGGGCATACTTTTGACTTTATTTAAGGTCAAGGGTGGGGAACTGAAGACCTGGAGCTTCAGATTCTGGCCTCTGCACCCTTCTCATTTTTAACTGCCTGACACTATGCTGAGTCTCTAATGCCCGGCAGGCACCCTGCGGCCAGGCTTCACCAGGCTCTGATTTGCTGAGACCAGGATGGATAACCTTCCCAGTCCCATGGACCACAGCACAGCATTTCCATCTTTTAAATTATATGTCAAAACCCACCTCCGCTGGGAACCTTTTCTCGAATCACTTTAACTTCATAAGTCCTACTGCTATACCCATCAAACACACCATATATTTGTTGACATATCAGGGTGATGTGTAGTAGAAAAAGCACTGGACTGGGAGTCCCAAGACCGCAGTTTATTCCAACTCTGTCAATAAATAATTGTGATCTTGGGCAAATCACTTCATCTCACTTCATGCCGCAGTTTACTCATTTCTAAGGTTTAACTTATTGCTCTGTGTGGTCACTTCTGGGCCTATTATTCCATGAATTTAATGTAGGATTATACCTGTGTACATTTAAATTTAGTGTATTACAGGTGTTTCAGGCCATCTATGAGACTGCAATATTTCTAGAGGTAGAGGCTGTCTCCATTCTGCTCTTCATGTGCCCAGGTGCTGGAGAAGAACTTTCTCCCAGGATTTTGGAAATCTCTATTTGTACAATGAACCAAAGACAAAACAACCAAACAAAAACATCATATTTCAAAAATGTATTTCTGAGAAGAAGATTGTAGATACTGATTTAAATCTAGGATCTAAAGATGATTTGCAAAAAGACATTTCTAACACGCACACACATATGTGTATATATCTATATCTGTATCTCTCTCTACATCTATATATCTCTATCTATATCTCACTCTATATCTATCTCTCTGTAAATCTGTATGAATAATGTTGGTCCCATTGAGAATGCCCATGTAACCTTCATATTACCTTGAAGCAACTGGCCAGGCCAGGCTCTGACTCCCAATCCAAATAGCAGGAGGAAAAGGGCCATCTCTCTTCTTGCTCAGGTTTCTCCTGATTTTCCACTGGTTGCTTGCACAGGGACATTGCCTTAAAGTGTCTACAGTCCTTCACTTCCCAGCGACCAGGGGGACTCCTTCCTCGAATGACAACACAGCCACCACTGTAGCCTAAAAGCAGAAAACAACACTTTAATACCAGATGACTAGAACATTTTGTGCTTGGAAGACAGCTCATTAGAGTGTTGAATAATTGACATCTCATAATGAAGCATCCAGACAAGAACAATAAAGATGAAAAAGGATGTTTTATTGGCGTGATCGTCTCATTTCTCTTCATCTCTGGAGAAGAGAATAATAGATGGCAAAGTGAGAGAAGAGAGAATATGAAGCCTAAAATTGGGGCATTTTGAGCTCAGATGGCAACTTATGGGAAATTAGGTGCTGTTCCAACTTGGGAGTGAAATATCCCCCATATCTCATCAAATGCCAACATCCCTCTACTTTGAATTATTGAGCTTTTTAACTGTGCAGAGGAAAATTTAACTCACCATTTATTGGATACCTACCCTGTACACTGTGCTTTGAAACCCTACTGTGAAAAATTAACAATGAAAAATGCATGGTGTTGATCTTCTGAGAAATAGATTCAACAGGAAAAAAATACATAAATGATGGAGTAAAGCAGACTGCAAGGTACACAACAGAAAACCAAACTGTACACCATGGAAGAGTGGAGATAATGAGGTATATTCTAAATGGGGTGAAATTCTGGGGGCAGGGATGGGGCAGACATCAGGGAAAAGGGAAAGACCATTTAGTTATGGACAAATTCCATTTTATTCTTTTGCATATGTTTGAACATTTTGGAAGATGAAACATATTTTTCCATAGAAGCAATTTCTATGTTAAGATTCTCAAGTTTGTCATCAAATGTATACAACTCATAAGACAGCTAAAAAATGCACTTCAAATTTCAGTGACTAGTAGAAAACAATCCCATTCCAAAAATACAATAAAAATGGAGTAAAAATGAGCTTCTTTTTTCATCAATCCAGAGCAATCATTCAATTAACTAAATCAACATTCAACAACAACAACAACATAAAATTATGCATCTGTATCTATATACCAGGCTAGGCTTTATATTACTAGCTGCTTGAGATAGAAGGACAAAAAACATTTAGTTTAGTGTGAGACACAAACAAATAAACGATTAATGGCAGCAAACATGATGGATTAAGTGCTATGGTAACAGTGTGTTAAAATTTCTGTGGAGAGACTTCAGAAGGAGTGATGGAGTCTCAGGATGTCAATAAAGGATTTGCAGGAAATGACATTTGAGCTGAAGTTTGAAGGATGAAAAGGAGAGAAAAGTTTTCAAGGGGTGCTTTTAAAAAAGCAAATGATTATAGATGAAGCATCTAAAGACTTGTGACGATTCTGGCCCTAAAGGCACTTTAAAAAATGTAGTCACTTGGTACTAGATATTTGTCTTGCTTAATTTCCCTTCAGAAGTAATGGCTTCAATTTCTGTAGATACAGGGTAATTGACATTATCCTTGCCAGCCATGTTTTGGTGGTTTAATGCTGATAGAAAGCCTAAAGAGAGAGATAATGAGGAGTGGAATGAGAAGGAAGAAGACAGAGGAAGATGTACAAAGATTTACATTCCTCCTGAAGGAATGGAAAAGAGTTTGTGAAGAAGGAGAAAGAATAATGAAGCTACAACACGAGTGTTTGTGTCTTCAACAATCCTGGTTGCACACCCCGTGTTAGACACCTGCAGAAAGCTCACAGTCGTATGTGTGTGTGCACGCTGATGGTCAAAGAGACCCACGGAGATGAAAATGACCAGTGGTAAACAAGAAAACACGATTGTGTGACATGCAGAAGGAATGGAAGTCAACAGAGAGAGTTGGTCCACACAAAGGCCATCAGTTGGCTCCACTGGCCAGAAGAGCTAGTGTTCAAGGTGGAGTCTGGGGGGCCAAGCAGGGGAGAGAGTATAGCATGCCACTGCCCCTGCTGTGAATGGAGCGCTGCAGGCCTGCTGAGTGTAATTGTGGAAATCAGCTCACAATCTAGCTGAGTCATGAACAACAGAGGAGATGCTGCCTGCTCTGTGTAATGAAATTGGAATGAAATTGAACTGTGGAAATCCATGTGGGATCCGAAAACCTAATATGTGTATGGATGGAATTGCTCTAGCTGAAAGAGCAGAAAAAAACACACACTCCCACCCGACTCTTCCATCCTTCCTTCCCAGCAGCCTTTGACTTGGGGTCTGAACTCTGGGGTTCTAGTCCCAGCACAAATACTTAGTAACTTGAAACTCAAGGTTCATAAATCACAAAAAGCCTTGTCTAAAACATAGGGGCAATAATTCCTTTTCTTCTTATGGATTTTCATGAAGATCTGATAAAATAATATATTAAAAAGCTCCCTGAAAGCTATGAAGTGCTAAAACCATCACTAAGATGTTGCTGCTTTTCTTATTTTGACTGTTTTCATTACAAAAGCTGGGATTTTGTGGCACAGGTTCTGCCTGCATGTTCAAAGAATTTGTAAAAAGCTCAAATCAGCAAGTTTAAAATGCGATATACTTTTTTGTTGGTCTTGCATTTTGTCTTACTTTCCCACATCAGACAATGATTAAATAGCTTTGGTTTTAGACACTAGATATTCAACTCATCTTCATTAGTGAAGAAGATGTTTGTGAACTGCTCTGAAGATAAAAAGTGTGCAGTAGTGTTATTGGTATTCGAAAATGGTTAACTTAATGGAACATCTGACCTAAATTTTAGAGTCTCAGCCTCAAAGAAGCAGTAAAGTGGTATAATAAAGGAAGACTGGGCTAAGGGAGATATAAACCAAATTTATAATTTTATGTTGTGGGGATGCTTGTAAAGCCAAATAATAAGGGTAGGGTGAGGAAAAGAGCAGAGGTGTTTCTTCTCCCAGAGAAATTGTTCTCCAATTTGATTAACTCATTTCCCACTGGAAAAGAACAACTGTCATCCTATCCCTTAGTGGTGAATCTCACATTTGAACCGATTCTCCTCACCTGCCTTAGCCTCCCTCTATCCCCGCCCCTTTACCCTCTCCATCAAACACAAATGGGAACACTTTCAGTTAATTAAGAAATTCCAATTCACTAGTCTAGTCTCTTCAATTTGGTAAAGCTATCTAGCCTTATAGTAAATTGAACCAACCTGGGAAAGCCTCCATCTTTCACTTCTCTGGCCCTATACCTGAAAACAAACAAAATCTATTTGTGGCCTCAGGGCAGGAGGGAATCATAACTGGGCCTTTAGACAATTATTTTACTTGAGCCTGTCTACTCATTTCCCTTTCCCTGCAACAACTTTCACATCCTTAATCTCAGGCCCTCTGCCCTAGCCACCTTCCATCTCTCTCCTCTCCTTCTCCGTGGAGAAAAGTGAAGCTTTGGGTCAGGGAAGGTGAGCTTTCATGGAGTTCTGCTTATCTGCCTGATACCATGTTAGGCATTTTATATGGTCTTTTTCCTATTTAACTTCAAAACCTCTTTGAGGTGGATATTAGCATCTACAGTTCACTAATGGAAAAACCAAGGCTCAGAGGTGTAGTAACTTGCCTTAGGGCCATGTAGTTCTTGAGGGTTTGATCTGGAATTTGAAACCATATTTAAATGAGTCTACCATGAGACAATGTCAAGGTACAGAGGAGGTGGACATTCAATAAATAGCTGTTGAATGAATGCTTGAATCTTCCCCTCTAATTATGCTTCTCCATTTCTATGGAGCTCCCTCTCTTTCCCCGGTCATGCTTCTCTCCTTTGTGAGACCTTAGCATTTCATTGAAGATCTACTACCACATTTTTAGTGTGTATGACAGTTACCTATATATTTATAAAAAGATATGGGAAATACCCAAAGGGTGCTCAGAAATGAGGCTGTTTGTCCTCATTTATGTGTTGGTTCATTTCAGTACTCTGATGCGGCCTAAAATGGATAACTATCTATCTGCTGACTAGATAGGGTTCTCCTTTCCATGTGTAGGGCAGTTTCAAGAAAACAGATCTGACTAAGCAATCCCATTTTCCTTGTCACTGAGAGAAGATTTCCACTGACTTGAGACAATTAGGGTAAATACTCTGGAGTTATCCCATGAGTGAAACATACCTTTTTCACAGTGCTATCTAGATCTAGAAACACAAACCTTTTGTCGCAGAGCCTGAGTTATGGATGGATGCAAAATTTTCTCTGTGAAATAACTGTGAAACTCTAATATAACTTGGAAAAGTATTTTTGAATGTCTTAAAGGATGGACTAACCTGTTTTCTTTCTCCATAGAGCAGCCTCCATTTATATTGAATCCTTAATCTAAGTACAAAGTACATTTAGGTTTCTAATGCATTAGCTTCTCCCTAAATGAGAAAGGCCCTATTTGCCATCTTTCCCTTTAATCAGTGGCACTAGTTAGTATGGATCAAAACTGTTTTTCCTGTTTTACCTGAATGGTTACTTCTCTTAAATACCAAGTACCATAGTCTCTTTGTTGTTGTTTTAGTAAGGATAGCAGGAAATTATCTCTTTATAGAAATATCCCAGCTATGAAGCTATGAAGAAATCCCTAATGAATCCATGGATCTAGGCATCGATCATTGATGGCTTCTAACATTGCAAATAGTAAGAGAACTGGACATTATATGCCTCCATATAGAGCATACAACTATCTATGAAATGGCCTTTCCAAAAAAATAAGAGTCTGATTTAGATCAGGCCTCTGATTCCAACTTTTTAAAAATATCAATTTTATGAAAAATAAAAAGAATAGAGTAACTTTTTTTTAATATTAAAGACTTCCATTTATTAGCACTGTGACACTCAGTGCAAAGAATACTCAAATGTTTGCTTTTTATACCAAAGGTAGTATATTGTTATTCTTCCAGCTCAACAAGCAGTATATACTCTTTAGTGAACTGTTACTTCCTAGAATAGCAGGCAGGCCTCTTCCAGAAGAGTAACACATTTTTAATGTGTTGTGGGGATACAGTAAAAAAACCTAGGGGCTTCCCTGGCGGCGCAGTGGTTGAGAGTCCACCTACCGATGCAGGGGACACGGGTTTGTGCCTCGGTCCGTGAAGATCCCACATGCTGCGGAGCGGCTGGGCCTGTGAGCCATGG